CTGGCTGAGGACGGACAGCTCGCTGCACCTGCAGTCCCGCAGGCTTTCCACCTCCTCGCTCTCTTCCACGGGCTCCTCGTCCCTCCTGGAGGACTCGGAGGACGACGTGCTGAGCGACACAGAGTGCAGGAGCCAGGGCATCGTGCACCTGGAGCACGGCGAGGACACCAACCAGGTAGGGGAGCGCGGGTCGCCCGGGACGCGCTGTCCCTCTCCCCGGGCCGGCGCCGCCAGGCGGGCCTGCTGGGTGTCCCGCGGGTGGCTGGGGTTCACCCCGCGCTCCCGGTTGGAGTGAGGTTTTCGTGACCCAACTCCACGCAAACTCCGGGAAACTCCTGTCTTGGGGCCAGCAACAGGGCGATACCGTATGCGGGTTGCTGTGCCTGTTTGAAAAACGTTGCTGCATGTTGGCTCTTCTAAAACCCAGTCAGATGTGCGCTGTTTCCCTTCTGCTGTGAAATTTTGCTTGATGTCCCTAGAATATGGGAGGACGTTTTTTGATCGTAAGTGGGTTGTTGTGTTTTGTGTTGGTTTTTTTGTGTTGTTTTTTTTTTTTTTTCCAGTCTCCTTTATCAGATCTTCAAAAAAAAATTCTTCCAGGCATTTACCAGCAGGTATTTTTTTGTCTCTTCCAATCCTGGAGTCTGTGGTTGTCAATTTTGGAGCTGCTTCTTGCTGTGAGCATGACAGGAGATGGGGAGGAGCTTGGAATGGATAGAATGCATGCTTTTGTCCATTCTGGCAGTAACACATTCTTCTCAGTAAATCCCCTCTGTAATTTGGCAGCTTTCATCCATGAAGCGTGCTTTTAAAGGCATATAGTTAGTTGCTTTTTCATGATCTTTAATATATATTTGCCTCACTCCTTAAAATATGCTTCTTGGGGTTTTGTAAATGAATATGTTGCTTTAGTGAATTCCCCCTCCTACCTTTATTGAGACCACAACTTAAATTGTTGTTCTGCTGCCAGCTCATTGGCACGGAATTGTTTTCAGGCAGAACATATGTTTTGGAAAAAAATGTATAAGCAAGAAGTAATGCAACTTGTAGGTGATACCTCCAGCTGGACTTTTCTCATGGTAATTGTGGGTTTACTACTTTAGAGGACACACAGTACAGGAGCTAAAATGCTGTGCGCAATATTGGTTTTGTTTGCATCAACTTGTGGCCTGTTTTTTTTTGGGGGAAAAAAAAAGGAAGGTTTGTACTTTGTGGTATTGCGTATCAGGAAACTCATAATAATACTACTTAATTCGTACTTCTGATACTGAGATAGAATCTGGTGTATGTGGGAAACAATTACTACTGTATTGCTGTTTGGCTTTCTTTTCTAAAATACATGCTGTGGTAGTGGGGATCTTATGAAAGTAGCAGAAGAATAGAAATTAAAGGTGGAAAAGGGCTATTGGATCATTTGACTCAATATCGCTGCTATTGCAGTGGGCTGTATGCGTGGTTAATGGGGAAAAGAATTTAGCGATACCACTTTAGCAAAACAGAGAACTCTGAGATGGCATTGTGACATCTGGTTACTTTGTGAATGTAGGCTGATGCAAAAACTGTTCTTCAGGCAAGAAGCCATACTGCCTTTAAGGTTTTGCTTCTGTATCTCTGAAGTCATGATATTGTATGCAACATTAAATCCTAAATAATTCATTAGAACTGCACGCTTTAAATACATGTGCATCAAAATGCGTGTATCTAAAACATACAGCGTAAGTGGATGTGAGTGGTATTACTTTGTTTTAAATCATGTGACGTTTCTAGGCACTACAAAATTGGAAAAGGCTTTAGTCACCTTTTAATGACAAGAGGAGAAAATTTTAAAAGTAAAGAAGATGATCTTTAACAATGATAGACAGACAAACTAAACATAGCTATATTCTAAGTACTTCAAACTCCGAGAGAATGTCCTATTCATTTAGGTGCATGAGAATCATAGAATCATAGAATGGCATAGGCTGGAAGGGACCTCAGAGATCAAAACTCTGATCAAGAAACTTCAAAATCGAGAACTTCAGTAGTATTAGGAGAATTAAGTTTTTGGAAGAAGTTTTTGTAGGTTTCCCAAGTTTAGTGTGGCTGCAGGATTTTTTTAATGTCTCATTGGTAAAATAAGTATTCACTCAAATGGTAAAATACTGCATGTTTTTAATGGCTGAGTTGCTTTTCTATACCTCCAGCGTAGGGGAGGATGGGGTGAACTGCCCACCAAGAGCCTGCATTCTGACTGATGTTCCTTATCTCATTACCACTTTTGTGGCAAGTTGGCAACCCAGAGCTGGGACTGTACCTAGGACTCTAACACAGCAGAACTGAGTATCACCAACTTGATGACACTGCCTAATAAATTAAATGGGCCAAATCTTTTATCTGCTTAATGCATGCTCATATAATTCATCCTTTCTTTCCTTGCCACATTACCAACCGAGAGCTCGAATCCAAGGAATCTGCTTTTTCCCTGTGGTCAGACACACTGCCTTTCATCTCAGATGTGCTTGCTGATGCCTGGAGGTGACCAGGACAGGCTTGTTCTTGTGTTTGATGTCTTTTGGGACTGTTCAATGCTGTGATACCAGCAATCCCTACGGTCAGCTGTCCAGTCTTTGCAGATACTGTCTCTTCAGTCAAGCAGTGAGTACGTAGCATGCCAAAGTAGAAGTCTCTGCTTTGAACCTCTCTGGACTCAACTTTACAGGATATGTCCTTTCTACTAATTAATCTTGAGGCAGGGTGAATGAGTGTGTTTTAGAATGGAACGCTTTCGGTTCAAGGCTGACACATACATGTGAAGATAACTAGAAATTTTAGGATATTCTAAGGGATGATTTTATGTTTTGAAGATTCTGTTTAGAGGCCGATGGGCACATTTTAGTGTACGTATTTTAAGACCTGTTCTCAGAGTGGAGCAAAGGGTAGAGACTTTTCTGAAGGAAATTGAAATCAGAGGTGGGCCGAACTTGGTGTTCCCTAATTCGTGGGAAATAGTGACGTTTTGAAATTTCCCTTGTGTTAGAATTTCCTTAGACTTGTCTTTGGAAATATTAGAAATTAATTTGGAGCCTGGCACCTTGTGACTAAGCTCAGAGGACTGCTGGACTGTCAAGCCTACCAGACTCTCCAGTGCCTAGCAGGAACCCTGGAAATTTGCCCGGGTCTTCAACTGCAGGAGCAGAAGTTCTGATAATGTTCTGGTTATCAGGGCTTCAAGGCTTCCATCTGCAGACCAGGAAACTTGAGACCTAAGCTGAAGAAGGCCCTCCCAGGACTCCCCGCTGGAGGCTTCTGCTGTTGACCTGGAAATCAAGACTCAGTTGGTCCTTTGAATTATTGTAGGCTCTCAAGCTACCTGTGCAGGCCCGCGTGAGTGACGGGGAACTCTAGAGTCCTTCCTCTGTGTACAGGGCTTACTGCCCTGGAGTTACCAGGCCTTAAATCCTGGGATGGTAAGCCTGGGAGTGCTGTCCCCGACCGTCCCGATGGGAGGATGGTTCTCCATGGCAGCTCATTAGGTGAACAGAGAGTTCTCCAAGAGGGTGAGTGGTTCAGTTAAGTGTTTCTCAGAGCATTCTGCATTGGATGAATTGGCATATCTGACAACATTAAATTTTTGTTTCTTGTTGAGTGTGGTATGTGGGCATGTCCCTGGACGTGTTAGGGTCTCTGTTGGGTGAGTGAATACCTTGGGACTGATGATTACAGTGCAGTTCCAGCCTGGCTCAGCAGGGACAAAACACTGTTGGCATCTGGGCAGGCCCACCTTTGAGAGAAGCTCAGCAGGTAGGTGTTCCAGTTCCTCAGCACAAGTTCCGCATTTCATTTTGCAGTATTTAGTAGAGGCTTTGGAAACTGTGCGGCCCTGGCTTTCCTGGAGGAAGACTCCTCCAGCAATGAAGAGTAGTGAGAGCAGCTCGTTCTGCTGCTGTCCTGTTAGCTGAACTTGTGGTTCTGTGAAAACCAATTGTGCATAGCTGTGTTACTGTAATTTGCATATCACTGTAGCTGGAGCTTCACAAATCTTGGCAGTTAACTTAATCAAAAAATATTGGTTATTTTTTAAATAGCAAATTGACAGAATAGATTTTACCCTGTGACAACAGTTACCGTACCTGCCTGCCTTTGCATTTAGACAGGAAATGTGCTTTTCTACCCTTGCTTCATGCCATCTGGGAAGTGTATACACAGAGTTGAATGTTGCAGTGAAAGCACCAGTGGTCCATTTATAGTAAAGGAGAGAGTGCAAAAGTTGTTTGTTTTTTTTTTTGTCCTCAATCTGTGAGTGAGCAACTTTAAAAATAACGTAAGTCTGGTTAGCACCTTCTTTGTTGGGACAGAGACTTGAAAAAGTGGTTTTCACAGAGAATAAACACCGTGATAATGTACAGCAGCCTCTTCTTCTCTTATAAAGAGAATGTTATTTACTAGGTAGAAACATGCCAAATAAATCTACTCCTTCTCATAACTGTGACCTGTCATTCCGAATTCCTAGATCTGTAACCATGAGAACAGCTGACAGCTTGCTAGAGAAAAAGCGGTTC